CATTCCTGCAGCGATTCCTGCAAGGCCCGACCCGCCGTGAGGCCGCGGCGGACTTTGGAGGACATTTTCCCCCTTGCTAACAAATCGTTATTCTGAAGCCACAGCAGCGAGCCTCCACCGTACTGCATGGCATTCCTCAAGCAAGAGTCCACATAGTCCAACCCCTGGGACAGTGTGAAGAACTTTGTGTCGGAGCCGTCCAAGTCCTTCGCCATGAAGTTGCCACAGAAAGCCCATACTGGACTACGTCCTTGATCGGAGTGTCAGGGTCCTTTGCGAAAGAGAGGCTCAAAGCTCCACGCGATGTGTCCTGAAGCTTGACCGTCTCGCTAGCAGAAGGGGCACTCTAAGTGATCAGGCTCCTGACTCGCTTGATTTCAATCACCGAAAGGGTTCTCTTGGAGAACTCGCGCCAGATTCTCCCGCGCAAAGTGTCCGCGGGCTCCATATGGGGCTCCAAGGTGAGGCCGTAAGTCAAGTCCCAATCTCGTTGCAGCTGGCTCAAGCGTCCTTCTGGAATCGGCATTTCCAGTTCTTCGGCGGTTGAAATGCCAAGCTGCTTGGACATCTTCAAGGCGTCGAGGCCCGTCTGGTATGCACTTTTAAAGCGAGCGGTGACCAACCGAGAATCCTTGAGTGCGGGCACAGACTGCACGAGCCCCTGGATGGAAGCTTCCCACTGGTCGCCTTGCACCATATACAGAAAATCTACCAAAGACTCCAGTTTGTGCGTTGCGATGAAAGCCTTGGCCCAATCCTCCTGCACATTAGAGCATCGAAAGCACGAGGCTAAACCACAATCGGCAGCCTCAGTGTCGACGCGACTGGCCAAAGACATGGCTGCGACTCACCAGGAATGTTCGAGCAAAATGCTGACCCCACTATGCAAGCACAGTTGTATGCCTCCCGAGGTTCCCGGCTCAGGAACTGACAGCAGGCACAGGCACAGGCGTTTATACCCCATGCGCAAAGAGTGCGAAAGCCGGCTGGACACACACTGGCCTCGAGTGTCCAAAAGGCTCAGCTGGCTAATGCCATCCCGCATCATGGCACGGACGGCAAAAGTGAGAAGAATGGCCCCCAGCAGAACGAGGGCAGCGGCGGTGACAAGCTGGATTCTGACAAACAATCCTACACTTCACTCTGCGCGTAGGCCCCGGCAAAGGAAATGCACTCACCGGCGGCGCACCCGGTCCTGATGTCGAAGGATCCCGAAGCCATCGAAGTTTGCGAAGTGTCACCCGCAGCAGACCCAGCAGCAAAGGACGGGGCATTCCAAGCATGCGAGTCATTGCGATCACGATTTGCAACCTCCTCCCGACAAATCTGAATGATCATGTTAAGTGCGGCGGTACTCATGCCATCTGCCCAGCGGCGAAGCTCGTTTGCCGACATGGCATCCGGGTTCATCTCGAGAACAGCGGAGAAGCTCTATGGGAGGGATCTGAGCAAAAACCTACAGCAGGGCCCGCAAAGCTCCAGTACAGTCAGAGAGTGAAGTGGCCCCAGGCGGCAAAGAGCACCGGACGCACACTTTCACTCGAACTGCTGACGGATGTGCGACGCCTGGGGCAGGCATCCTATCTAGGCACCTAGAACTAGCAGCTGGGTCCTGATGAAAGGCACTGTCCCTGCACCACGGCACAGGCCGGCCCGAGCCATCCCGCTCGCGCACAAAGTGCCGCTTGGCTCCTTGTCGAATCCACTCACACTCCCCTGCATCATCAGGCAAATGGCATTCATGGGACGAGGAGGCCTCCCCAGAGCAGCAAGACTCCGAAGAGGAGTCACCCTCGTCCGGAAGAGCAGGCAAACCCTCCAAGGGCCTCGCCTCAGCAGAATGAGTAGGCACCCAGGCTTCAACAAAGTCGCATCGTCAGCCCGAGGCCACTGGCCATGCTTATATGCATACAAGACCGAAGACACTACCTTGTGTTTGGCCGCCCAGCTGGAACGGACCTTGTCACCTGCATAGTGACGCGACATGGGCTGCGCCTTAGGCTGTGCACGGTGCCCACTGGAGGAATCCGGCAATTCCACCCAAGAGCCTATGGCCTGGGCTTCAGCGTCCGACAGACCTAAGGGATTCCCCTTGGTAGGGAGACATCTGCGGAGGCGGTTATAGCCCGCCCTGGAGGCCTCCGAAGCGTCCACCAGTGCCCGACACAGGAATCCCCGAAAGATCTGCAAGAATTGCTGGCGACTCATTCTGCGATTAACAAAAGCTGTATCCTTAGTCAACTGCCACAGGTCACACGAACGGAGGGCAAGCGCGGGCCACTGGAAGGGAGCATCCTGCGGGCGGTGATTGATCAAGTAATTATGCAAGCAATCAACCAAACTAAACCCCAGGAAACTATGTCAGGGAGGGCCCAGTTGCAAGAAGGCCGGGCTCCCTTGACCCTAGACTTACCCTTGGAGCATTGAAACTCAAGCCAATCCGGGGGTCCCCGATGGCGCTGAATGAACTTTGATCTCTGGAAATGCCGGAATCGAATACACGAAACAGCACTTGCTAGCACGAAGGCTCCCGCAATCTGAACCGTACCCGTGAGGCCCGCAACAATGACAATCAGATTGAGGAGCTCCCACGGCTGCAACTCCGGCGCCTGCTTGCTGCGGTGCCCCGCGTGGTGGCACCGGTATGGCTTCGTCAAGAAATGGTCAAGAGGGAAGGCGGCTCCCAGGTGCTTATTACACCACATGAAAGCAGAGAACACTCCGAAGCAGGCAAGAAGTCACTTGGCCCAAATGCCCAGCACTGCAAGAGCTTGCCGAAGACATCACAAGGCGCTCAACTTGCAACACCTGCTCCTCCTCATCCCAATCAAACTGGGCAAAACCCAGACTAGGCAGATCAATGAAATGAGCACAAGCCAATTTAAACAACTCTCTGATCTTACGCAGTTTAATCAGCGGCTGTTCTGGCGTAGGCCCCGGCTGCACCACAGGTTTCACTGCAGAAACGTTGTGTCGCCAAGGTACCAAAATTCTGGGCTTCTTAGCAACAGGCTCCGCAAGAATAGGCTTCCAGGAAGCAACGGGGCGCGATGTACCAGCACGAGCAGCGACTACTTGTCGTACAGAAACAGACTGAAGCAAAGTCGCACGAGCTTGGCAGACCGAATAAATATCCTGCATGTGCAAAATGTCGCCCCTGCTAGCTCCCGGCCAGCCCTCAAGTTCACAAAGGCACTCGTTGCAAACTGCCCAGAAAAATTTGACATCACTAACGAAAGTGATGCCCAAGTGATCAAGCCAGGACCGCAAGACCGGCTGCCCCACAAGCAGCTCCAGGAGAGAGTCCTCCATGGCTCGCAGAAAAATCTATCCTGCAGCCAAGGTCTTGGGCCCGAAGCTACAGGATGAGATGATGCTCGACCCGTTCATGCTGCACAAAGGACCCTACCCAACCATCCTACAATTGTGCCCACCATAGGCAAAGAAGTTGATGCCACAGAGTGCTGCACGCCAACATGCACACTGTCACACCGATGGAAGCCACACAAAATCCATCAAGGTTTGATAACAAGCACTCAGGCTTCCGCCCCTCCCGACAGCCGCCAAAAAACCAGAATGGCCGCATGCCGGAAAGCCGTGAACAGCAGGCATTGTCTTTCCAATGTCATATGTCCGGTACCTTGCGGTCTCCACCCGGTCTTCAACGCAGAACGGACCTTGCGCTGGCAACGTGGTTGTGGTGTCCCGTAGGTCCGGACACGGGAAGCTTCTTTATTAGGTCGGTGTTGCCCTTGCGCTGACCTCCAAAATTCAATCATCCCCGACTGGCATGCCCAGGACAACAGTGTAGACTTTGACGACTGCAAAGAAAATAAACAGGCGACAAGCTGGCTCAGACCAGCATGCACTATACCAAACCACGGCCAAGGTGGCCCAGCATCCTACAGTAACCCAGTGGGAGCCAAACTCAAGTAAGACAATGCTCAGGACAAGATCCTCCGCACCCTGGAATCGGACCAGCGTAATTACTGCCCCAGACCATGACCAACATGGCACGAAGTAGTAAGGGGTCTTCGCCAGGCTCCCGAAGAACGGCGGCTGCAAGCCTTTGGAGAACCGAAGCAAGAAAGCAGGCAAAGCTGCGCATGGCGAAATGAACACGGTTCCTGCGCTACTTAGAGTTTGTGGCATGCACTGGCCGTAAACGCGTCCCACACCGGCGCGACCCGACTTTGTAGAATCCCCCGACCAGGCACCGATCATATGAGCAAGTAGGACGAGGGGAATCGGCTGGGTCTGCGAGCCCTTTTCCCGCCTTTGTTGCTACATGGGCAGCAGCCTACTAGTCTCCCCCTGCTTATTCGCTTAATGTCTTGGTGTGCTGCTTGTCTTGTGGGTTGGTGGCGCTGCATATGTGGGTGATGTCTTCCCACCATGCACGTTGTTCCTAGGCGTCTAGTCTCGGAAGGGCACAGCTCACAGAGTTAGAGCTACGCTGAGCGAATGACGGAAGGTGTTCTCTTGACTGATGTTGGGTCTCAAGGGACTTGGACAAGGTACGCGTACAGAATGAGTACGGGATAGCGCGCGCACCGTGGTGCATGCCTGGAAGCGAAGATGTGTTCGTCACCGTACATCTTGAGCTGGCGCACCACCAATGTTTCCACCACTGCACCGGGAGCAAGCACCAGGGATAAAAATTCACGCCCAATTCACGAGTCGCCATGCGCACATCAGCAACAAGCACACATCAGGAGAGGGACAGAATACAGGAGAAAAAATGCTGCCACTCAAGCGTTAAGGCTGGTATCTACACAGCATGCAAAACGTGCCATGCGCCATCATTTGCCCCCGCGGATGCTCTTGTACTAGCTTGTTTGCAACAGAAGGTTGTGCTTGTCGCGCTTTCTGGTTGGTACTTGGTACATGAGAACGGCGTTTACGCAGGAAAATCCGTTCACCCATGCACACAAACGCGCAAGCAGTCGGGCTTGCGCTGAAAGCGAGAAGGCATTTGGGTGTGCCAGTAAGAGCTGTACGCTGAGCCAGCTTCATCCATCTTGGCACCACAAGCTTGCGAAAAGCTTCTCCTTCGTGCTAGGGACATGAGCCGGAGATGGCTGGGGTGAGACTCCGGTGTCTGTCTGCCTGCCGCTGCTCGCAATGAGGAAAGGACCAGATTCCGTTCCTCTTCATCCTGGCTTCGAGCATCTGCAGGATCACAAGCTACAGGTCAGCATGGCCCTGTCCTGACAAAGACTCTCGAACCTTCACAGAAGGTAAGAGTTCAGGGGGCACCGCATTCCGGCAATTCTGGAAATCTCGGGACACCGGCGACTGCTGCTCGTCTTCAGTCAGCAGCGTGTCTTCGATATCCTCTTCCAGCACTGATACCAACGGAACCATGTCGCTCCTGGCGTCCTGCTGCAAGTCCCGCCACAAGGCATCGTTCCTCGCAGTCACATGCCCAGCTGGCTTTGCAATTGTCGCCGGACGTCTTGCACAAAACCACGGTTTCAGCAATGGCTGCAGGGTCGCACCTTTCGTGTGATGGTCCTTCCGGTTGATCCTGTGAAATCACTTGCGACTGACTAGCGTCGCATATTTTTTCAGCTACTCAACACAGCATCGACGCAAGCAGTCTCACACTATACCGGAATAGCGAAACAAAGCAAGGCGGTACTCACAGAGAGTAGCTCCACCTCGTTCAGGAAATTCTCGTCGCCAAGAGCTGCCTGATACCTGCGAAATCGGATAGTCTCAAGAGAGATGTGCTGTGGCTGCCAGTATTGTCGACCGTTAACAATCTCTTCTCAAATCTGTGGTCCCTACCAGACGCCCAGACAGAAGTTAAAGGTTTCAAGAATGGGGCTCCCACTCGGCGTACTGCGCAGGGTTGCGCAAGATCTGCGCGTACCTGGAAGTCTTGATTTACTCCAGAACTGCGCTTGTGCAGTTCAAGGGTCACCTCATCGCACTTGGTCCAGTGACTGCCGCAACCACAGGCACACCAATCTCAGTCACAAGCAGTGGGTGGATGTCCTCCCGGTCAGGTTCGAGATACTGAGTTGCTCACCCATGGTCCAGCGATGCCCATGTCAAAGACCCAGCCCCTGTCTCCAACCCGAAGATATCCAAGCCTGATAGAAACAGGCCCAGCTCCATTTGGTATGCGACTTCTGCATCAAGGATGGTGTAGGAGCAAACGGCACATGGCCTTTGAGGCGCGCGTTGCAGCGCATTGGATGCAGCAAAGGAGGCAGACGAGAGAAAAGACGGAGATCCAGGCATGTCCAAGCTCTCGGCCCGGTGGAGTCTGGCGGTAACTGCGCTTCTGTCGCTTCGAAAACTTCCCCGACCTCGTCCAAGGTCCAACAGCGGAATCTCCGCCCGTTTTGGTTCGAACTGGACAAGCGCCTTGATCATGTCGCCCGTTAGCTCGGAGTCCTGCCGGCCGACACACATTAGGAACGGTCGTGCAAGCGAGCTCAGGAACTCTCAGCGGCAAGGTGTGCAATTGACTCGACAAGCTCTGGGGCACAGCACCGCATCTGCTTCTGAACGCAATCGAATCCTTGGCGAACCAGCGCTTCCAGCGCGAGTGCACTCCACCAGCCGAGGCACTCAGGCGGTCGAACAAAAACGAGTTAGCTCCACCATGCTATGCCAGCAGAAAACATGACGTATACTTCGTGGCAAGAGCTGGGCTACTGAGGAGAAGCACGCCTGGCATACGCCTTCGCCACTTAAGCGCATTGGACAGTGACCTGCTTGCTAATTTCTGTGTGGAGGCTGATCCACGCCTCTGCCTAAGTTGCAGCAAGGTGTCCTGATGATCCCGAACATCCAATGCCGCTTTATATTCCTTCAAGTACTCGTTTCGTCCAAAGCATTCACGCCCGAGCACTGCCGACAATAGCAGTATATCTCGCAGGGAACATGGGCTAGCGGCGAGTGGGACGGTAAGCTCCTGCTGCTATGCCGCGTTGGGTAACCCCCGCATGTTTGGTAGTTTGATGTCCAAGATTGCTACCATCTCTCGGGTCAAACCCTTCTTCACGCTGCAGTGTACCTTGCTTGGACTCGGACGTCCTTTGAAACGCTTGCTTTCCTGCCCTCTTCTGCTCCCGCTGCGTGAACTGAGGGTGCGACGCTGTCTTAGCAATGTAAATTCCCGGGGCTGCCTCAGGAACTGCTTCCACAGCTTGAGAATGCCATCGCTGCAGCGCGCAGCTGGACCTGGACAGGGTAGTCTCCGTAGGTATCCACGGACTCGCCGTCACTGTCACATCTGACCTACACGCGGTGAAGCATGAAATCATCTAGCAGAGCATGCCACGTCAGGATCTACTGCTATCTCCTGCTTGGCCGCCGACCACACAATGCCTTGAGCCAGCCACACTGCTTCCGAATCCTGCGACTGAGAAGACTGTCCACAAAACGACATCCGTTTCAAGTTTGACCTCGGAACGCTCGCGACCAGCCAGCCTCAACTTTCAAGAGATGCATATCGACAAATCGAGGTAACCACACCACGAC